TTTTTTTTTTTTTTTTTTTTCATGGGCGCCGATCAATTATTCACAAGCGCATTTATCTCCCCTGCAATATGGAGAATTCATATTCATATCTCTGTTTTAGTGGCCTGACACTGATTAATGTAATATGCACCGCGGCTCCGAGCGCAGCCCCGCTCTATGAATCATGCGCTATAAAGTTTCAATCGTCCTTGTAGATGAGACTATTACAAAGAGCGCAGAGCGGCGGGGGCGGGGAGGCCGGGGTTGGGGGGGACACACGGCAGGAGGAGATGGCTCCTCGCCGCTACCGGCCACCGGCCCCGCGTTAAACGTGTTGAAAGAACCAGGCGGCTTCCCCACCCCGGCCAGCCCCGCTCCTTGGGGAAGGGTCCGCCGCGGCCTTGCCTCCTTCCCCGACACCCTCGGTTGGGCTGAGGCGGGAAAGGGCCGTGGTGGCTGGGGATGCCTCGCCTCAGAGGTGAGGCGGGCTGCCCGGTGCCCCCCGTGGCGGGGGGGGATCCCCCAGATGGGGGAGGGGGCTGAAGCTGACCCAGGCTGGGCCCCGTCTGGCCTACAGGGCCCAGCTCGCCCCAGGGCGTCATGGCGGAGGCCGGCTGGGGAGGGAAGGTGTTAAAGGAAGTCTCCGTCGCCTGGCTAGTTCCAGTGTTGTCGGGGGATTTTTATAATTTTTTGGTTTTTTTTTAAATTTTTTTTTTTTAAATTCCCAAATGCCCTGAAAAGGCGAGGCGTAAAGAATGGCCCCGGGGCTGGCGGGAGGCACGCAAGCAGCGCAGGGGAAGGGCCGACGAGGAAGAAGCGCCCTGCGAAATGGAGCCTCAAAACATGGGCCCCGCTGCTCGTCCTCCTTCCCCCTTGCCCCAGGGCTCGGTTTCGGGGCTGAGGCGACCACCGCCTGGCGTCCGAGCCCCGCGTCCAACGCTGCCCGCCTCCCTTCAGGCCTGCCGGCAGACGGAGGGAGGGGAGACCCCGCCAGGCCCCGAAACCCGCCATGGGTCGGGCGGCCGCGGTTGTAAACCGGCTGGGGCAGGTCGCAGCCGGCCTGTGGGAAGCGGGAGGCAGCCATGAGGGACCGCCGGTCCCCCCCTTCTGCTGGGAAGGGCCTGCGGCCGCCGCCGGCTCCATAGGGGCTGCGGTGAGGAGGGACGTGGGGCCTGATTCCCGGCTCCGAGCTGCCAAGTTTTACGTTTCAGCAGTAAATCTTACCTGGGACTAACAAATCAAGTAAAACGCTGGAACATGTAATAAACGTGGCCCGCGTGGCGTGTTTTTGCAGTGAAAAGTTGCAGGAACGGCTCCTGGCGAGGTTGGTGTTCCCCATTGTGCGGTGCCCCCATGCAGTGCCGTTCATAGCTTGCCCGTAAAACCAGCCATGTGGACAGGAATCGCTGGAAGTACCAGGAGGCTGAAAACCCCATAGAAATAGGTATTCAAAATTTAAGACTTCGAAAATATGAGCTCTTAAAACTAAACAATGTACTTCTGTGAGGAATTAATTTACTCAAGTCCCGTCACCGTTATTAATATTAGTTTTGGCTTCTCTTTTGTGCATGTGAAGAGAATACGTGCATGGGCGTTTGTAAAAAAAGTGGAAAAAAATACACCTTTTATCTGTTTTTACTTACTTTAATTAGCATTACAGACATCCTTCATGTCTGATAGGCAAACTTGTTTCCCAGCGTGTTCCTCGGGAGTCGAGCTAATGCAAAAATGCAAACGCGGGGCACACACCAAGTCCTGGTAGTGCCTCTCCTGAGAGAATAGAAAGCGCCGGTGTAAACTCCGTGCAGAATTAAAGGCGAGTTTAAAAAGTAACATTTATTTTTATTCCAGATTTATGGCTGACCCGTAGATAATTAAAGGTTTTATTTTGAGCTGTTGGCCCCACACAATACATTGTCCTTTGTTGCTGCGCAAGTAACGCTTTCCCTGCGCTGCCTACGGTTCAAAAACAATGAAGCAATCCATTTATTTTGTTGGTCAATTGTAGCACAAAGTGAGGTGGTCAGTGTGGAAAGTTTATCACTGTCTTGTCCCTTTGGAGGAGGCAGAGCATTCACACACCCTCTGCCCCAGTACACAAATGTCAGTCTTTTTGCAGGCTGCTGTTTTCCTTTTGAA